CGGATTACCTGGGTGGGGCCCACACTGCAGTCACAGGGTCTTTATAAGAATGAGGCAGGGGGAGATAAGATACAGAAAAGGATGCAGTGTGACCACGGAGGCTGAGATATAGATATATATATAGATATATAACTAAATCACTTTGCTATACAGCACGAATCAACACAACACCGTAGGAACTTCCCTGGTGGTGCAGTGGCTAAGAATCTGCCTGCCAGTGCAGAGGACACGGGTTCGATCCCTGGTCCGGGAAGATCCCACATGCCGTGGAGCAACTAAGCCTGTGAGCCACAACTACTGAGCCTGCGCTCTACAGCCCGCATGCCACAACTACTGAGCCCGTGTGCCACAACTACTGAAGTCCACACGCCTAGAGCCCGTGCTCCACAACAAGAGAAGCCACCGCAATGAGAAGCCCGTGTTCCCCAACGAAGAGCAGCCCCCGCTCGCCACAACTAGAGAAAGCCCACGTGCAGCAACGGAGACTCAACGCAGCCAAAAATAAAATTAATTAATTAATTATTTTAAAAGGCCCTGTAAATCAACAATAATTCAATAAGAAAAAATAAAAATAAAATAAAAACAAAAAGCATTTTTATCTGATCACGTGAATCATATTCATTATAGAAAACCTGAGTTATAAATCTCACAAAACACGAAAGAAATAAAAATCAGCCATAATCCTGTAACTCCATAAGCCCAAGAATAACCAACCACTGTTAACATATTAGTGTATAAATCTGTGGGGTTTTGTTCCCTCAAACAAAATCACTTCTGATGAAAACGTCAAGCATCTCATTTAAAGCCATGAAATGGGGTCCTATTAGGAGCCGTCAGGAGGACAAGCCAAACAATTAAAATCAACTGTCCTGCTGTTCTAGAGACACAGGCAGTGACCTCCAGCTCTCTCTGCATCACAGTCACAACCAGCAAAGCAAACTTGACCCCTGGCTCTGATGAGAGGAAAATATAAAGTGTGCGATTTGCCCAGCCTCTTTTTCTATGGACCTTTAGGAACCATGTCAAACAGCAAGAAAATTCCAGTGAATCCCAGAGACCCACAGAAGTTAAATGCGTCCCTTAGCCCACCTGGCGGCCAAGGTGGATAGGAAACTGAGACACCTGACTCCCCTCCTAAGAAAGGAGGCCAGGTCCCCAAATGCACCAGCCATCCCCGGAGCCCGAATATATAATGTGCTTCAGTATGAACTGTAACATGGGTTCCAAAAACACGATGGCACAGGCCTTCTTGCAAGAAGCTCCACGTATGCGGGGAAACAAATACATTCAAATAACTGCCATTCAGAGTGATACCTATCAAGACAGAGGCAGACACAGGATACAGGGAGGTGTCACCCAGGAAGGAGTGATGAACACTGTGAAATAAATGAAATTAACAATGTACTACTTGTCTTCTTTTTCACCGAATCATCCAATGCCAGAGCTGGAACGAACCACAGGGATAATTAACACACACGCCTCCTACCCCCCCCTCCCCCCCTCTCTGCCAACCCCACCAAATTTTCCGATGGAGCAGTGCTTAAATGAGATAAGTTCTAGAATCCCTTTAAGCTCTAATTCTCACGTACAAAGACCATAAGCTACTCATGAAAAGAGATTAGTGGGAACTCGATGGCTGGTTGATTTTTAATTCCACTCTGACACAGAAAGGGAGCCTGTTTTCCCAAAGCCCGGAAACCCCTGGAAGGCTCTGAGCCCAGGAGTCTGTATGACATGGCAGGAGAAGCCCGTTAAGAGACAGTGTGCTCCCAAGGCTACAGAGTGGGGTTGCTTCCACAGAAAACATGCCGTTTCCTTGGGAGATCATTTTCCAAAGGACTCAGCTCCCCAGGCTGAGCCACAGAACGAACGTTTGGTGCAGGGGGAAGCCCCCCAACCCAATCCTCGGGAGCCTTTGCACCCACCACTCGCGGGTAAGCAGGGCTCACGTCTGCCAGCCTCCATCGGGCACCACCCTTTCCTCCTGAAACATTTCAAGTCCTTGCACGGCTGGACAGTTTGTTTCTCTAAAGCAGGGGTTCCTTCCTGCTCTGGAGTCGTGGGTGGACTTCGTGAGATCTGTGAATACCCAAAACTGCCTGGTAACTGGTTTGCGTGCAACCTTCTCTTACGAGAGCGTCCACAGCTCTTAGCAGATTCCTGGGGGGGCTGTGAGCCACAGAAGTTTCAGGACTCATTTATCCTTGCACGCGTGTCTAAAATATGAAGCCAAGTGCCTTGGGTGTGCGCTCATGTCTGCGTGCAGGTCCTCGCGTTCCAGAAACCTCTGGGAGACAGCACACGCGCTAATAAGATTTCCTTTTAACTCCTACATTGAAAAAAAAGTTTTTTTTAAACAAAATGTCATCCCCAGGACATACAAAACTGAACCAGCCAAGACAAAAAAACTTCAAAAAAATCAATTATCCATCTAGTTGCTGTGAAAATCTACCTTTAAACCCAGAGTCTCGGGGAACATCAAAGCTCTAGTTAAATTTTTAATAAACCATGAAGGCTAGCGCTAAAGAAGAGACCTTTTCAAAGATAAGTTGGCAACAGACAAGCTCTCGAAATGGTTGTCATCAAAAGGCACGAAGCTGCTAGAAGGCAACGGCGGGCGAGTGAACTTCCCTTTAGACTGAAGTTCGAAGCTTGAGACTCTGGGACTGAGCCCCAGGGGGCCTTCAGAAACACATCTATTTGTATTTAGATCTTTATTATTTTTCAGCTGGTTAAAGAAGGAGTCTTAAATGGTAGAAAGACAGCCACTAACTATTATGACTGAAAAGACGGCCTAAGTAACTTCTCTTCTCGAATGATTAGCATTTAACAGGTTGAAAGTGACCCTGGAGGTTTTGGAGCTGTGCCCTCTGCAGAGACCCTGGTCTCTCGATAAGCTCTCTAACATACTGGGGGTGAGTATGACCAGATCCTTCCACCCAGGCAAATCCACTTTGGTCAGATTTGTGCGCTGGGGTCCCACGTAAGACATCATCTCAAGACATACTTGAATAGCAAGCTCTCGGAAAACAACCAAAATAGTTGACTCAGAACCCAAAGGGAAAAAGCCAAGAGAAAAATGAGAGGGAAACAGATGCTGACAAAAACTGGGAGCAAATTGGCCTATACGATCCTATGATAGAAATTCCTAAGATCAGGATAGAAATAAGAGAGGAAAAGGCTTCTCATCTAGAGGAAGATCTGAGCTGAGAGATTAGACAAGATGTTCTGAGAGATTTCGTATATACACTGCAACAGACAACATATTGATATTTTCATTCCTTAAAGACGACCAAAAAGAGTCTTCACTGCACAAGCAAAACACTATCAAGCTACACACAGGGGAAAAAACTCAGTTTGGCCGTGGCCTTCGCTTCCACAGTATTGAAGCCAGAAGATAACAGAGCAACATCTGTAAGAGCTACAAGGAGAAATAGGTGCCTCTAGCAAAAGCTATGCCTAGTCCAGTCTTTGCTCCTGTACTGGGGTAACAGGTTGACATTATCAACTCTGCAAGGACTCAGATAATATATCACCTGGGGCTGCTCCCTGAGCAAGGTTATCACTCAGACTTGAGTTCCAAAACTATGAAAGATGGATCAGAATGTTTAAGAACACAAGACTGAAGGAGTCAGGAGTATTATTAACACTGATAACAGCTATCACTTTTCAAATGCTCAAATGGCCCGGGTACTGTATAGACTGTATATATATATATATATATATATATATATATATATAAAATCTTCTTTAATTATCAAAATTGGTATAGTTCATTTTGTAAATAATATCCCAGTTATCTCAGTAGTAGCATTATCCCCACTTCATAGGTGAGAACACCAAGGTTCAGAGAGCTCACGTCATTTGTCAAGATAAACTAGTTAGTTAAGTAGCAGAGCTGGAATTCCGCAATGTAACCCAAGTTGATCCTCAGGGTCTCTCAATTTGTTTTTTTAATAATATCTTTATTCTTTTTTTAAGCTTATCTGTCTTTTCTAGTTACTCTATATAAAACATATTATTTTTGAAATAGAACACCAATCAATTAAAATAAATCCAAAGACACAAAACAAATTACTCCAAAATGTTAAAAAGGAAAGGATTGGTAATGTAATAGGGAAGAACCTTTGTATTCTGTTACAAATTCATCACTAAAGGGATGTGGCCTATAAGCTTAAATTATACATAATGGCCCATCTCTGGGAACCCTGCCTCCCAGGTAATAGGCAGGAAAATACCTTTGTTTAGCTCAGAGGAGACATCCTGACCAGGCCCACCTGTGAATGGCTGCAGGGAGGAAGAAATTAACACACCCCCTCAGGAGTCTGACCGGAACCAGGAAATGTCTGACCTTACTCCCTCCCCTTTTAGTATAAAAGAAGCCTGCATTCTAACTCAGGCAAGATGGTTCTTTGGGACACGAGTCCACCATCCTCTCCGTCTGCTGGCTTTCTGAATAAAGTCGCTATCCCTTACCCCAACAACTCATCTCTCGATTTACTGACCTGTCACTTAGTGAGCAGTACGAGCTTGGACTCGGTAACAGTAACGACATCTCAGAAAGATGTCCCCATGAAGAAAGCAGGTAAGGCAAACAACAGTGTACAACTGTACTGAATTCAATACTTTTAAAAAGGATTAAGAAGAACCAGAGACACTCTGTGTTTACAAGAGGTGCAAGCCACAGCAATTGGGCAACAGCTATGAATTTAGGCCCAAACGACTTGGTATCAAATATGTGAAGAAAGGAACTCACAGGTGGAAACTGGAGTGAAACTGTCTGCAGTAACTGGGACCAGAAATTTTAACACGCAGTGATCAATCCAGAGCCGGTAACCCAAAAAATAAACTCAAGAAAGCTTTGTACTCCCTCCCCCATGCCCCCTCGAGAAAGAACCAGCATCACGATTGCCCAAGCCCCTTTTCCAGCCAGGCAACTGAGCTGACAGAGTCACTTCACCCTCAGACCCGTGGCTGGACTGCTCGGGGCAAGACCTCACCTGGGATGTTGTGTATGGTGATGGCCAAGATGAGTAGCACGATCCTCCTCCAGCTGCTGCCGCCGGGCAGCACCAGGCTCCCTTGAGACGGCACGGGGGCAGCTGGGCCCTCTGGAAGGTCGGTGGTCACTGCCTTCTTCCGCTGATATGCCTCGCCATTCTCACTCTTGTCTGAGCAAAAAAGAGAGATGGAAAGAGAGAGTAGTTTGAAAACGGGCACGTCAGTATTTGGACAAGCAGCAGCTGGAGGAAGCTTTCAGGGCTGGAAAATGGTCTATTTTCTAACTTCCTAAGGGCCCGTGTGTGCTTCTGCCTGGTCCTCCCCACCTGCATTCATTCACTTACTCGTTCATTCATCAATCAGTCCTTGAACAGACATTCAGTGCCCAATGTACGGGTACTAAAAAGGGTAAAAAGATATATGCTTATGTAGAGCTGAGTCACTTTGGTTTTTTTGTTGTTTTTTTTTTTTTTTGCGGTACGCGGGCCTCTCACTGTTGTGGCCTCTCCCGTTGCGGAGCACAGGCTCCGGACGGGCAGGCTCAGCGGCCATAGCTCACGGGCCCAGCCGCTCCGCAGCATGTGGGATCCTCCCGGACCGGGGCATGAACCCGTGTCCCCTGCATCGGCAGGCGGACTCTCAACCACTGCACCACCAGGGAAGCCCTGAGTCACTTTGTTATACAGCAGAAGCTAGCACACCACTGTAAAGCAAGTATACTCCAAGAAAGATGTTAGAAAAAAATGAGAAAAATTTGAATAATATGTTGCTAAATGGAAAAATTATAATATAGAATAAATAAAAATAAAATTTATAAATAAAAAAATAAAATTATAAATAAATAAACATAAAATTATAATATAGAATGTGATAGCACAATTTGGTTTAAATTTATGTGTATGTACCGAAAACAGATTGAAAATATAAATGTCAAATAGTAAGCCACGGTCATCTCTGAGTATAGGACTTATTAATTAAAAAAAGAAAAAGAAAAAGGGCAAAGAGATGAAAACGGGGCATCCTAACACTCTGCCTGTTTAAGAGAAGCAGCACTGAACACAGATTCTGGAACTAGGCTGCCTGGCTCACTTCCTGACTCAGCCGCTCATCAGCCGTGTGGTACAAAACAAGCTATTTAACCTCTTTGTGCCTTAGTTTCTTGATCTATAAAATGGGGTAAGAACAGAACCTATGCCACAAGGGTTTTGTGAGAATTAAATGAGATGCTGCAGCAAAGTGCTCAGACCATACAAAGTGCTTATGTGTGGACTGTGGCTGCTGTCACACGTCCCCTCCCCCTGCAGGAGGTGACCCTGCTCTACAGGTCACACTGACTCAGGGGGAACCAACTTGGATGCCAGGCTCAGCCAATCAGATTCTCTCCCCAGGGATGGGGGACGGGAATGGGGAAGGACCACGTGACCCCCAGTGTGGGCTCTGCATCCAAAAGGTCATGTGATACAAGGGCAGCCACGACGTACGTGCACGAATCGGAGGACGGGGCAGCTGGACAGAGAGACAGAAGGTAACAGATGTACAGAGACAAGCAGAGACGGGAAACCACGCAGCCAGAGACAGACAGACAGAAATACAGACAAATGGCAGCCTGGGTACCATAGGATATTCTGACCCTCATGGGCCGACTAAGGTACCCAGCCCTTGGGTTTCATGAGCTTACCTTCCTTGTAAAAATCCCCCTTTGGGGGGAAGGGGGTGAGGGATAAACTGGAAGTATGGGATTAACAGATGCACACACTGCCAGATACAAAATAGATAAACAAGAATTTACTGTATAGCACAGGGAACTATATTCAATGTCTTGTAATAAACTTTCATGGAAAAGAATCTGGAAAAAAGGATATATATGTACGTATAACTGAATCACTTTGCTCTACATCTGAAACTAACACAAAATTGTAAATCAAGTATACTTCAATTAAAAATAAAATAAAAATAAAATAAAGTTCCCCTTTGGGTACATATTTGAAAAGTGTCATTTCTTAGGGCCAGATTATGCCAAACACCCACGGTCTCCCGGGTTATTTGCTAATCCCTAATGGAGGCAAACTGCCTGGATCTGAAACACAGGACCGAGACTGAGGCAGGGAACCCAGGCTGTGGTTCACAGCAAGGGAAGGATCTTTCAGGCAGGCTTCCTGGAAGAGGAAGGGAAACACCTGAGGACACAGATGGAGACAAGCGTCTCTCCATCATGTGAACCTGCAGGGCCTGACCCAGATGTCACAGACAGGTCACCAGAGCCTGTCTCTGGGACGTCCACCACAGGACAGGGCAACCCTAGAGCCCAATGTTGGCTTTGCTACCCCAGGGGGATTATTAGTGGCCCCTTTCACTCCCCAAAGTGTCCTGGTTTGAAAGATAAATTTTATGGCTCCCCAGGTTGGGGGAAACAGCAGAAGCCCGACTGATGCTCTGCTCAGATGGGGTCCAGCCGACTTGAAGGGTAGGAGGGAACTCTCCGTGGTAACTATTTCCCTTCTCTAGGGACAAATTTTTCACAAGCAAAATAATTCTCATCTCTAAGCTGAAAATTGCAGAAAATTTTTCCCAAAGTCAAATTAAGAAAGTTTGAGGATTCCTTTACGCCTGAGCCTGGGCATTTGGTGCGGCCTCTCCTTACTCCTGGAAGTAAAGCAAGAAAAGGGCAGTTATCTCTCACCCCCTCAGGTGCTTCAAGACCAGGGTCTCACTCTATAAACTGGATCAGATCTTTGATTCCCTTTCCGGATGAACCTATCTTAGTGGAATACGGTTTGTATGCCAAAAACACGGAAAGAAAAAAACACTTCTTTTGAAAAGCCATTATGTGTTTGTTGATTCAAATCAAGCCAGTGCAGCCTGAACAGTAAGAATGAGCCAACGAGCAGGTAGACTCACTCCTTCCCAGTTGGTTCTCTTAGAAACAGCTGGATCTCAGATCCACTGGGGAGAAGGGGCCTTTTATCGATCCTCTGAAATGCCAGGGTCATCAGCCCTCCCACGGTCAGTAGGCACAACTCACAACACTGGCCTCTGGAGGATGCAGCTGTCTCAGGGGATAGCAAAAACTCCTCCTAGACAATATTTGCACGAGCTGAAGCTAAATATTCACCATGTGGCATCTATACTATGTGTGTGTGTGTATGTGTGTGTGTGTGTGTGTGCACGCATGTGATTACCGCTGGGTACCATCTTTCTTGCCTAAGATATCAGACCGTCTTTGTGTGTGTGTGCATAGGTGTGTGTTTCTGTGCACACACGGGTGTTTTTATATTGTTGACAACACCTGATGACTCGGGCTGCAGAGGCTGGTCGTGGAACTGAACAAAACATGTGGGATTTCAAGCCCATAGACACTAAAGGCACAAGCAAACAGGCCCAAGTGCCGTGTAGGAAGGAAGCCGCGTGGTGATGGAGGGAGCTCAGCTGTCTCCTGGACCAGTCAGTGGACACCACAGATTCCCTGGACCTCCTCTGCACACACGGCACTGATCTGGATGCTCTCCAGTGGGCATTGATAGGAAAAAAAAACCCCACCTCCTCCCTTCGGGATTTTATAATTTAAGAGAGGACAGACGGAAGGCGTGAATACATTCCTGTAAATCTAAGGGACAGAAATTCACACTCTCTAACAAGCGTGGGCGGCTAGCCTGATTTCTGTCAGTGTCACAAAAGGATGCGGCTCTGAATTTCCTGCAAATAATGCACAGAGAACAACGGAGATGGGCGCCCCGTCAGCAAATTCCAGCACCAAACACGCGTTTAATAGGAACATCGAGAGGCATAAAGAGTTATGAACCGGGACGAGGATGCACGCCTCGCCTTGCGGGTCCCGAGGTGTGAAAACTGATGCCACTGCCTCTCCTAGTGGGAAATGGGAGGGTATGAACGCCTGATGCACTTGAGAAAGTTAAATAAGCCACCGTTTGGTAACAGCCACTAATGAGTCTGCAACGAGGAAAAACAGTCCAAATAAATCATTACAGAGAGTCCGGATGCATCCCCAGCAAGGAATCCCCTTGTCTCTCCCAGAAAGCCTGCTTCCACCATTGCACACCATCTAGTAAAATGCCAGTGCCGTGGACAAAGGGACCGCTTAAAGGAGGCCTGGCGTGGGGTTAGGGGTGTTGCCAGAGTGATAAGCACCCGTGAGATTTCCTGGGAGGGGAAAGGTCTGGGCATTTTTTGAGTAGGATTTGGCAAAGAGGAAGGACATTTTAGGGAAGGAACACCCGATGTCGGGTTCAGAAATGAAAAACGTCATCAGCGACATCCGGGAAGGGGTGATGCCAAGAACTTAGTCTCAATTGACCCTCGATCCTTACAAAAGCCCCATGAAGTGGGGACCACCCCCTTTAACAAACAAGGAAGCTGAAGAACAGAGAGGTGGAGGAACTGGTCCCAGGTCACACAGCCGGTCCAAGGTGGATGCAGGAGTCAAGCTGGGTCCTCTGCCTCCAGAAGCCACTTCTTTACCCGGGCCCCGTGGTTGACCAGGGCTGGGGGGTGGAGTGGTGACCTGCCCCTTTGCTCGCCTAAAAGGGTCACATGCGAGCCTCTGCAGTGACATTTAGGAGGCTGAAACCCCAGAGGTTCAGCTCGGAGAGAGTCCGGTGAGCTTGCACTACACGACACCAGAAAAGGCAGAAAAGGCTCAGAGGGAACCTCGTATCTGTAATCAATCACTCCTGCTCGTAGACAAACCTGAAAACGTTTTGGGCAAAGCTGTTTCTTAACCCATCAGACCTACTGTTTTAAGTGTAAAGCAGCTGTTAAGTAGGAAATATTTATTAACACCAAGCACGCGACACAGGGTTACAATCCTTTTGGGAAGGTGGAAAGGAAAGACTTCAAGGTTGCCCATCATCAAAAAACATTAAAAAAAAATTTAAACTCAAGCGTATGTGAATCCACACAAAGAAGGGGCCCAATGCTGGGGCTCGGCCTACCGTCCCCCACTTCATCCTTCTGGGAGAGGCACCCCATCACTAAGTTTGAGAATGAGAACCACAGGAGAACAGACAGACCAATCCAAAGCTCACTTTTCCCGCTGAATCACCGGGTGACCTTATTGGACACCTTTTGTTCCCTGCTTTCTTCTCCCTCAAACAAGGGATGTGATTCTTGTACCAACATGTTATACTGCACAGCAAAAACAGAGCCAGGTCTG